AACTTGCTCCTTGAAATATTTCGACTGGCTTGGGTATATCATTGCCTTGAACAGTAATATTATTCGTAGTACCAAACATTGCAACCTCTTGATTGATCATTGCACTCACAGATAGGGTCTCAACGTAAAAGTCCTTTCTAAAAAGAATCAAGTTACCAAAATCTTGTCTGGTTAGAGCAATTTTATCTAATTCATCTCTAGGCCTACTCTCTCTTCAATCACTGCCACTACGACCTCCATAAAAACTGCGCCTACCTCCAATATGCCCACTGCCAAAATTCCCCCATCTACCAGTTCTACCTCCACTGTGACCCAAATCAAAACTTTCTCTGCCACCCTCACTGCCTCTTCTATCACTCCTATTTCCAATTGCACCATATCTAAATTCTCCACCACGACCACTTAAACTGCCACCATAGCAACATCAATCCCTCTTCCAACACCATGCTCAAAAGCAGAATAACTACTAAAAGTACCAACACTGCCTCCTCCAATTCTCTCACCATCCCCAAAGGATGAGGTGCCCTTGGAATACCTCCATCCGAACCTAGCTCCTCACGGCCATAGCTTGGTAGAATAGGTGGTGGAATTGCAAATGGCGACCATGCTAATAAATCAGTACAATCAAACAGAAAATTGAAAAACCACTGCGTACATATTAAAATACTTATATACAAATACCCATATGTAATCAAAAGAAATCACAAACCAACAGAAAATGTTGAACTCTTTGTATATATACACCCATTAGATCATTATAAAAAAGCACATACATATACTTAAACTGATTTTGAAAGATGATTACTTTGGCACATGAGCAAAGTTGCTATACATACGCATGTACATATTTTTCTACACACACAACAAAGGTTTGAACCCTTTGTATATATAAACCCAATAAACACTACAGACAGAAATGCACACACACAACAAAGGTTTGAACCCTTTGTATATATAAACCCAATAAACACTACAGACAGAAATGCACGTGTATAGATTTATTTGTCAGACAATACCAAAATACAAAAGTAAACATGAAAGGATTTTACCCGTTCGTATAGACTATTAAATTCCCCCCAGCCCCCCCCCCCCCCATACACACACTTTAAATTAACATACTTAAAACATATTTTGAAAGATTAAGTTGTCATTTGGTTCTAATTTTCAAGTCAAAAAATTAAATTTTTGATGGTTACTTAACACAGTTAACAGTTATTTTTTTACTTTTTCACTCACAAACAAGTGGAATCCACTTTTCTCACGAACAGTCAAAAAATTAATTTTCTTAATTTGTACCGAACATGCCCTAAAACTTTGACACACCAATTACACACACAATAAACATCTTTTCACATACACAAGCATGTAAACACAAATTAAACATGAACAAATGCTTTCAAAAAAAAATTAAAGTACCTTCAGCACTGACGGTAGGAGTCAGCATCGCGGAGCCTGGAGTCGTAGTTATTAAACATGGTCTCTGTTGATACGGGTTTAGGGTCAGGGTTAGGATTAGGACTAGGTTCAAGATTAAGATTTGCGAAAATAAGAAGGGAAAAGGGGGAATTTAATTACCTTCCCTTCAGTTTTTGTTTTGTCCTCTAGTTTTGTATAGGGGTGGTAGTCGAGCCGAATGGCTCGTCGACTCAACCGCTTGACTGGTAAAAAGGCAGCTTGTGGGTGGGTCAGGCTCGTCCAAAGATGAGCCTGAGCCAGCTCGCCACGAGCAAACGGCTTGTGGGTTCACGAGCCCATGAGCCTAGTAAAAAAATACAAAAAAATTAAAAAATTAAAATAAAATTTGAGCTCATGGGCTCGACTCAGCTCAGCTCATCACTTTGACGAGCCGAGCTCGTAGGTAGATGGGCCGGCTGGCCCATTGCCACTCCTGATTTTGCAGTTAAACGAAAAAAAAAATTTAATTGAGAGAAAAAGAAAAAGAGAAATTCTGAATTTAATTTCTACGAAAAATTGTTAAGGAAAATCAGTTTTTTTTATACTACTTGTTAATCAATTTGCTTAGATCCCGACATATTTGATACGAAATATTGATATTAATGATAATTTTTTTAGTAAATTTAGAGGGTTCTAGCTGATTATTAATAACCATACTATATGGAAACAATATATAACTTCTATATATAAGAATTATATTTTAAAACTAACTTGTAAAATTATTTCAAAATTCATGTGTTTAATTCTAATTAATAATATGTAACAAGTAATTACTTGGAATTAATTATCCCCCACACCACCAATTAATAATATATCAATTAATGGTATTTCACGGGATCCATCCCACCACACTCACACCTGTAAAAAATTTCAAAAATTTAAAACAATTCTCAATATTACAACCTAACCCGGAACCATACCTTACCTAATCACATGGAAGCACCCCAGATTTGTCACTAACCGTGCACACGAAAGCACCCCCAGACTTGTCACCAACCATATTATTTTTTGTGACTAGACCTGTATTGTGTGACTAACTGTTATGGAATTTATCTTCAACGTGTCTGTATTTAATCGTCTAATAAGTGACTGTATGTAACCAAATTACTAATGTTATATGTAACTAAATGTGACTAAATTTGTGTTCAATATAACTGTCTATGACCGTATAATTTGTGACCATGTCATTAACCTATGTTATTTATGATTAAATGTAATCAAATTTGTCTATCTTAATTGTAACAGGATGTAATCAAGTCACAATTGGTCAATTAATACATAATTGGTTACAACCAATCGCAATAAATCATATTTTTCACAAAGGGTCACCACAAAACAAATCTAGGCCCATCACACATCAGTACCATAATCCACCACCACCATAACCCCCAATGTACCACCACTATTACCTTCAACTCAAATATATGATCATAAATATTACATTCATCTCAAATCCACAACAACAAACAATAATCACAATCACCACCACCAACACCTTTAACAAATCGACTATGACACAGTCTCTACCTGTTTACCGCCACCATAACAAACCACCGTCACCACTACTATCACACTCCCCGCATGTTCTACCACAATCAGAGCGATTACCGCAATAAACAAACAGCCTGCACTACAACCACCAACTGCACACAAACAACAAAACTCACCCCAAATTTTCTGGCACCAGATCGTGACCAAATTTCCCCAAATCGCGATCAAACAAAACTCGTACAACCAACAAACTCTGGCACCAGATTGTGGCAAATTTGTCATGACGAGGCAATAGCAACTCAATGGAATTCCAGAAGTGGGGCCGACAACTAGCATTTTAAAGTGTTATTTTGCTTATATTTTCTTCTTCCTCCTCTAACTCTATTATCACTCATTCTCAATTTCGTGATTAATTCAACAATTGGGATGAGATCTTAGCTCCTAGAGCTATGATTATTAAATTGGTATTGATTTTGAGTAAATTCATTCCCACGTTGAACTTCACTCATTACAAAAATTTCCACAAATACCCCATCATTTGTCATTGCAACAGCGGAGCTCACGTCGCTCGCAAAACCCTACTCCAATAGCCACTCCCTCGCATCGGCAACAACCTTTGTCACCAGTAGGCATTCCCACCACTACCGACTCCTCATTGGCACCCAATTAGCAACCGCACACTGACCTTCCGACTCGCGATGCTTCAGCGCCCGACGCTCCTTGTGCCACTGAGCTACTGCTCTATGCAACATCCACACTGTTATTGGTGGTGCGCTTGAGATAACTCTCCCGCCTGTGGCCAGAGCAGCACTGACAACCAGGGAAGAGAGGAAAATAAGGGTTTGGTGACTAAGGTTTTTCCAACTGTTGGGATAAAGAGTGGAGAGAATGAGGTAGAGAGAGAAGTTAGATGAAAGAGGAGAAAAGTTATTCGGGTTTTTTAAGTTTATATATAATTATTAATATTAAATAAATATATTATCACCTGATTTTTAAATAAAAAACTTTTACGCCTTTTTTTTTAATTGAAAAGGTGAAAAGCACATTTGGGCGTAATTTTTCTCATATTGTAGAGCATACTTTTGTTAAGCCCAACATCACAAAAAAGTAATCAATTACTTCTAAAAAAGAATAACTTTTAAGGAAAATACTGCTTGTACATATAGGTTTGCTACTTCAAAAATAAAAGCAACTTTGCAATTTTTATTTTTTATTTTTCTATTTGGAACTCACCCTAGAACCTAACAAGAACATGAATTTGCAGCCCTCAGGGCATATCTCCCAATGGCAAAGGGGATGACGGATAGGGCTCAGCGCGGCAGTGTGCAGAGTTCGATTCCCCGCAAGATGGAATTGACTTTGTTGCAAGCGAGAGTTACCATATGGGTTAACAGCCTTGGCCAATCCATGTGCTCTCCACCCTGGCTCCTGGGAGGCACATCCTGCGATTTACCTCCTCTACGATGGCCCAGGACAGGGTCGGTGGGGACCCTTAAGGTTGGGGTTCAACCTTTTTAGAACATGAATTTGCAACCAAAATTACATTTCCAAATTAATTCACAACTTTTCCTGTGTCACAAAAGCTCTCTTTTGTTGTGTCTAGTTTAGGATGGCAACAAGACAAAATCGAGCCAGAGACTAATATTTCACGTCCTATTTACTTTTATTTCATTTAGTTATGATTTTAATTTGAAAATATAATTAAAATAAAAAGCAGAATTTAGAATATTATGACCGAGAAATTTTACCAACTTTAGTATAGCTCCCCTAAAACAACATTACAATCTTCTTTTCTTGCACAAATCATTAATTTTCTTACGCAGTTTATAATATATCAATAAGATTTGACAAAATGTTAGGGTAGAACAAGTGACAATATAATATTCATAAGATGAATGCTACACAAATAAGGATTTTAAAGTAGACGATAATCATTACAACATATACCATTGGAAGTGATACCAATTGCGAATAAATTAAGAGCAATGATCTAAAAAGCCACTTTTTCATAATAATGAATATGTGATTTCAATAAAACATGTCAAAATAACGCAAGAAATCGTTATTCTAAGAGGCTATGTAGTATCTTTCTATATAATAGCTTTACATATTCCTTCTAATACAAATTTCAAGTGAATTTGCTTGGAAAGCATATACAGTCGAAGAAATTCCTTTCAGATTGTCTATTGATATCTGGCCTTTTACTTGATGCAATCTTGGATGGGACAATTTCCTTTGCCTTGTGCATTTGAAGGCCCTTGGTCCTTTTGCCATCTAGTACCAAAGTAACCTTGCAAAATTCTGGTGCATGCTTTTGAACATATTCTCCTTTTCCTTGTCCCTTCCCCGATAGCCTATAATGAACAAGAAAACAATCTCGAATTACGATTTGTGGGCATGCCACTTAAAGACAGCATGATGTGACTCACTTAACGGTACACTTAAAAGTGATATTAGCTCAACGATTGATGTGTTTATTGGTGAACTCGGCAAGATTAAGTAAGAAATACATTTGTTAGTCGTCATGTTCAAATTAGCTTAACCCTATAATCATAAACTATAAAATGATGTCCGCTCAATAATTGATGCATATAGTGTATACGATAGAATTTATTACTATGAATGTGAATATCTCACATTAACAGTGAATCTGTGAGAATATTTTTATTCTTTGTTTCTTTCATTATTGCTCTCAAGATTGGAATTAGAACTTACTCGCCAAAACTCATTTCAACTAATAATTTCCACTAAAAGGCGTAGACCGATAGGGTCATTTTTCATGCACAATGGAACAATCTAAAGGATTGTGCAACCTAGAGATATAACGATATTTCTTTGATGAATATAGTATTGAGATTCACTTCATTTGGAAAAAAGGTCAAGCCGAAGTGTGAATATGTTATAGGTCAATATCCGCTCAGTCTCTGTTAGCAATTTCAAGAGGATACGGGGTTATGTCTTGCATTGAGTGCGAACCACTATAATGAATTTTCATTTTGTTCATCACGGGATTGAAACTAGGGCTTAATCTCGCTCAAATTCCTTGTTAAATGAAAGATAACAAACGGAAGAAGGGGGTTTACCTTGTGAAATGTGATTGTTTAGTTCCAATAACAAGATTAGTAATGTTAACAACATGAATCAGATCAAGAATTGCCTTGGCTGCAGAGTTGCTCTCCACAAGCATTGTCTCTACTGCAACCTGTGAACAAAATATCGAAATTTCATCCATCGCGTCTAAATAATCTGGAATTGGATCCTTAAAATTGGAATTTATTGCGAAAAAACTAATCGCGTTTAAATGGAATAATTTCTATACGTACTTCTGCATCGATGCATAGACGAATATATTTTTCCAAGAGATTCCTTCTCCTGTTACTCTCCTCATTGACGTAAACCTGAGCTTGCTCTTTACTCAATTGGCTCTTTGATAGCCTTCCAACTGCCCAAGAAATTCAACCCATCAAACTGTTCAAGCACCCATTTTAACGAACAATTTAAGTGCAAAAGAAATGCAAAAACAAAGGGAGTTAAGTAGCTGATGCTAATTTCGTAAAGTTATGGCTTGTTCGAATAGATATTTAGATATTGTCCATCATACTTTCTAACCCTGTTCATTACCTAGGCTTGTCAATGGGATGAATTTTGATCCGAATCTGAATTCGATAATCCGTTAACTAAATGAACCAACTATGAATATGGTTCAATTCGATCCAATAATGACGTAATAATATAATATATTTTATATATTATTGCATAATTTATTACACATATATATTTTTTTTAATTTTGAAATTTGTATTATACTTTACACATAATTTTGGTTATTTGAATCCATAATATTGTTAATTGAAATGTTTGGAGAATTTTCAATTTTTTATTAATTAAAAATAAGATAAAAAAAATAATTACGTTTTTTATAAATTAAACAACTAAAGGGGACAACAATTAGAGTTATTTTCATTATCCCCAACTTAATTCTCATTTTCCACTTCGGATACTCACTAAAATATCACAAGATTTGCAATCTATAAATAGGTAAGCAAACAATTGGGTTAAAAGCTATATTGGGGCTTTTAATTACAAGGTTTAGAAGTTGAGATCTTCCTTAATTTCTTCAATTCCAAATCGAATATCCGATAACAAATCAAATATGGATTCAACAATCAAATAACTATCGGATCGGATCAAGTACTTATTTTTATCGGATCAGATCAAATATGGACAAATTCGATCCATATTCAATTCATTTATAGCCTTACCAGTAGCACGTGCAAAGGACTCTACATTTCGCTTATCAATTTTATTTGATTCAAAATAGATGTGGGAACAACCAAAATCGTTAATTTGTGTTTTCTAATAACAAAGCTTAAAGACATAATATTTGGTTTGAGACATGATCTGATTGCCTAAATCAGAGGGTAGGAAATAAACAATAAGACCATCAACTCAAGATTTGATCCACAATTGCGTGCGCGTACATATACACAATATTAGATAGAACTAAACAATAAAATAAACAAAATTTTATTGTTAATCCCTTTTCATTCTTAATACTATCTAGTGCTATTCAATTCACAATTGTGACGCACGTCTACAATACATAGTATTAGATAGAACTAAATAGAAAAAATAACAAGATTTTAGCCCTTTTTCCGTTGATTGTACCTCCGACGTTATTCAATCCTCTCTACAAAATATACCGTTCAAAAAAATAAAACGATAAACACAGAGGATGGGTAGGAACTGTACCTGGAGTAGGGATGTAAGTAATAGGAGGGAAAACATGCACAAGGAAAACACGATTTTTCCCTGGAGAGACAGCATGATCGAGTGCCCATTTAACAATATGCAAATCATTTTTCCCAACAGCAACATAAATATCATTAAAACCTTCATCCATGCTCTTGCTTTCCTCTACAATCTCGACTATCTCGGGCGATGACGCGACTTTCCAATTACGACGATTTGACCCCTCTTCTGCAGCCATTGGATTTCCTCCTAATTCCATCAGAAGAGAAAAAGAACAAATTTGATACAAGAGAGACGAAAAAAAAATGAAAAAGAAAAGAGGTCGTTTTTTTCAATGCCATTAAAGAAAAGAAAATGAAAGTTAGATTCTTTTTCGTCAACATTTGCAGGCTTTTTGGACATATCCCATAATGTGATAGATTATGTTCTTTGATATAACAGAAGTACTATTCTTTTCTTTTCGCTTTTCACCATAGCCACATGCTAACCTCCATTAACCCTCTTTTGGATTGACTTCACACTTTACTGAGAGATATATAAGATAAGACCATTTTGTGAGCGAGTTCTTTTACACGTGTAAATGGTGGATAATAATCTTCGATCGCACTTTAATTCATTGAATGCATTGTTCGGTACGCAATACATAATAGGAATGACCGTACGGTTGAGATTTTAAATTTTCTCATCCGTTGATGTTGTATAACCTAGCCAAGCGAGTCATGAAAGTTATTGGCTAAAAGCCCGCCTTACGAACTTGATTTTAGGTAAAAGGTACTACGACCTTATAAACCAATGATAAATGGCTCAAGGTTTGTCTGAATTTGGTTTAAAATAATTGTTTACACAAAGGATGTCAATTTAGCTCATTGACTCGAGCTTCTCGTAGCTCGGCCCAAAAAGAGCTCACGCCGACCCGGCTCAAGACTCATGCCAAGCTCCATTTTGGATGTTGGCCCAAACTCAAGCTGGCCCGTGTGGCTCGATGACTTGGGCTCACGGGCCTATAAAAATAAAATAAAATAAAAAGGAAAAGGAAAAGGTAGCAATTTATTATATATAAAAAACAAGAGCATGTCCAGCTTGAAAAGGTCCAAGCCGAAAACTGAAGTCGAGCCTAAATTTTTTGACTGAGCTTTGCCTGGAAAAAAAGCTCTCACCATTTTACTTGACCCTCGAGTTTCGACTAGCGAGCCGACTCGACTCATTGAGATCTCTAGTTTATTCCTAGAACTTTGAAATAAATTAAGTTAAAACCCTTGGTTTTGAAAATTTATCAAGAACAAGACTAGTTTGCCATTGTTTTATTCTATTTCCGAGCCTACCACTTCACATTCATTTATCATGGATTTAGTACAAATTGTTGACAAGTTTGTGCATAGTCTATCTGTATGTATTAACAACCCAACCCCCCCCCCCCACACCCAATTTTTCAAAAAAAAATTAAATAAATAAATTCCACACCCAAAAAAATAAAAAATAAATGTCGTATTGTCTACTTCAGGCTACTTGTGCTTTATTCTGAACTAGAATTTTTGCACCTAAATTTTTGAAAGCCTTGGCCAGGATTGTGGCATGGGAAAAGGGTTGCTACACTTTAGATGGATCTTTACGCGTGAACAAAGTATTACGTTGTAATATTTCCTATAGAAATAACTGAAAAAAGGATTTTTATTTTATTTTATTTTTATTTTTTTTATAATTTTTTTTTTTTTTGGTACATATATATCAAGTGGATTAGGATGGAATACACCACGAGCAAAGACTACCCAAATACCAAATTAGCAAAGTATGCAGGGTATGACCCCACACGAGTTTGCCGTATTATAAAAGAGCAATGAAACCGAAATGAGCCTAATAGTATCACATAATAGCAATGTAAAATGACATGTTTTAAGCTTAATTACAATGTGGAAGGTTCACGTCTGAGGTAAAGATAACAATATTCTCAGGAACGAAGGAAGGTACTGTAGCATCCCACATCAAAACAATATGCGTCGTGGAACTGATATCACCACTAATTGCGTGGATTAATCAATAAACAGTGTCAACTCTAATTTTGAGGACATAATTCTTCTCAACTTTGACATGGGGTACAACTTTGCTTTTATCAATCCCATTTCAACCTCTAAACAACTAACAATTCAGTTCAGTCGTAGAATATACATTTAGATGTTTTCGCAACTCAACCACAAATCATCTGTATTCGACCTTCGTAGAAATCGAATCCAGAAGAAGATGATATTCGGAACCATAATGCAAGCTAAGTAACAAATTGTCTTCAGGTATATAATGAACCAGTGTAGTTTTACACAAGAAGACAAATGTGTCACTGTTATATAAAGGTGTTTGCTCTCCCCAAAAACAGTATAATATGGTGCTAAGAAAGGGTAGTGGCTTAGTGGGTGGTGGACCATAAAAGCACTACAAAAATGTTGGACCATTTATCACACACAATATTGATTATAAAAGAAATCAAAAGTAGCAATCGAATGTAAAAACCGAGCAGAAAAAATAATAAAATATCGTCACTTATGCATCATAATGAGTAATAAAAGATTATGTTATCGACTGTCATCATCCATTATCATTAGCCTCATCAAAAGCGTAGTCCAAATGCCTATAATGTTGGAAATTAATGAATACATAAAAGTACGGAAATGGAGAAATCACATAAAACATTAAGCATCTGTCCATATAGCTGAGGATTTCTAATGAAAATGGCGGGGGACGCTCAATGAAGTTGTCGAGATCCTTGCTTCTTCTCTGTTTATCATCTTTCTAGTTTGGAACTTCTATGCCTGCATTTCGAATGATTTTACGAAGATGACACCAGTTGATGAGTTTGTTTCGCTCATGAATTTTGCAAAATTTTATCTTGATTATTTGTTAGATCTTGTGAGTATAGAACATTTTTGATGTATTTGTTAGTATTGTTTTGAAAATTAGGAAAGTCAATGCAAAAAAAGTAATTAAAGTGGACGAAGAGATAAAAAATATGGAAATTGGGGCAGTAAGACAGCGCTTAGGCGCTGCATATATAGTGCCTACGTGCTACAAAACATAAAAAAAAATAATGAAACTTGAACTCGAGAGACAGCGCCTAGGCGCGATCGTCAGCGCCTAGGCGCTGCAGACGTAGCGCTTAGGTGCTGTGTTTAAATTGACGTGGCACTGACTCCTAGCGCTTAGCGGTGCGCGAGAATTGTTTAAGACGCTTTTTGAATGGTTTTGAAGTCCATAAAAACCATACTTTCTACACAAACGGAGAAGGCACCTATAAATACATCTTTCTCACACTTTTGAAGGGATTCTTCTTCACACATTGAGAGACAAGATAACATAATTGGAGAATAAAAAAAGAAGAAAAAGAATTCAAGAGGAGAACAAACAATTCAAGGGTTGAAGCATAAATTGAAAGTGGAAGAAGATCTTGGTGCAAGATTGATTTTTTATTCTACATTCTTATTCAAAACCCAGTTATGTCTTCCATAATAACTTCTTATTTTTCTTTCATTATTATGAGCAGCTAATCTGATTTTAGGGCGAACAATGTAACTGATTTGGGAACCTTTATTTCTTTTATTTGAGATTCTTGTTCGTTATAATTTCACGTGTGGATTTTAATTATGTTATTAATGCTTTAAATTTTCGGGCCAATTATTCAATGATTTTGTGAACAATAATTGCGTAGAGATGCGGATTCTTGTTTAGACCACTATTAAAATCCGGTAAATTAATATAACGTGTAGAGATATCTATATTAATTGCGGCGGTCTTATATGAATTCTTAGAACTATTATTTCGTTTAAATAATGTTGATTCACATAGAGATATGGAATTGAATTATTTAAATAGGCTCAATGAGAACTCCAGAGGGATAAATTGAATATCGTAGAAGAATTCAATCGAACACCACTTTAGATTTTATGAATCTCGATATTAGAAGTAAATGTGACCAATAGATGAAATTGTTCCGCCGTAATACCCATTAATTATTTGAATTCTCACTCATTTTCTGTTGTACTAACGAACTTTTAAGTAGTTAGAATAAAAATAACTTTTAATCATTGTTCTCTTTTATTTTTGTCAAATAGAAGTTAGAAATAATAAATTGAGTATTAAGGTATAGTTCTCATGGGAATGATAACCCGGATTCAAAAAAGTTCACTTTACTACTTGTTATGATCCGTCCACTTGCGGGATAAAAATTGACAACAACTTTTTGGCACCGTTGCCGAAGACTATTTTCTTTAATATTGGTTTATTTATTTCTTACTCCTGTTTGATTTTTTTTCTTTTTTCTTTCTTTCTTTTCTTTTTCCTTTTTTGTTCAATTGATCTACTTGTTTTTTTTTTGTTGCTACATTAACAGGAAATAAGAAGAAGCAAGAGGTTTAATTTCATAATGATTAATTCCGACTTGAAAGAAGATGACATGCTCTTTGGAGAATTCCTAGTCAGGCAAGAACTTAAAAGGTGGGGATATGATTAGCCTATCGAATTTGGTAAGAATGGTTGGCCGAAGGGATTAAACATCAAATCAATTGTTTATCCAGATATCAGACTAACATGTGAATCTTTTTTTTTTGTTTTATTTATTTTATTTTCAAGTTATAAGATAGTTTAGTTTATTTATTAGTCTATTTAGGAGACATCACCCATATCCTATTTACCCTTAGGTCATTGAGTACTTAAGTTGGTTATTAGATGTTTGAGCTAAGTAACCCTTGTTCCATGAGTTTAATTTCTCAAATTTAATTTTTCAGGAACATGACGTCGCTGAACACTCAAACCAACATGAACATGGAGAAAATGGGACAAATCTCTAGTTTGAGGGGAGAATGTGGAAGAAGAGTCGATCAAATGCAACATCAAGACACCACAACATCATAGGCAATACTGACATTTTAGGAAAGTCCTCCTCCTTTTCCTTTAAATTTAACATTAAGGACAATGTTTAGTTTAAGTTTGGGGGAGTGTATTATTATTAATTGCCTACCTGAAAATTTTTTGAGTTGGACATGTTGGCTTACAATTACGTTTTACTTTGAGATTTGGTGTTGATTTATGAACTGTGGATATGATGCATGCTAAATTGATTGAAACTTAACCTTGCAAAACCCGATATTATAAGTACACCAGAATTGAGTCTGACACTCTGATGAAATGAGTTGATTCATTTTTTAGATATGTTGATTTAATTGGATATAGATGTTTTACCTAAACTAAGTAAGTTATTTGTCCTTAGACCAAAGTTAGCATAGTTTGGGGGTGACTTTACAGTTGTAGAAAGATGCGGATGTGAATTTAGATTCCATATGTAAAAACTTATGTATGGATTGTTGTAGACTAACACGATAAAATTAGGTGAGAGTCTTAAATTAGAGGTCGATTTGTTTGAATAAGTGTGTGATAAGGGGCGTTGCACAGATCAAGGCATATACATTTGAAAATTTTAATAATTTCTC